TCACGTAACTGTCTCATTAAAATAAAAATAAAAATATATCTAGAACAAGCACCCAAAACACGTAACAAGAGGTCCCAGTTCAGTTGCTTTCACGATACAAGTGTAATACAGATATTAGATTTGAAGTGTCGTTCAGAATGTAATAATAATTAATACTAGTTGTATGTTCACACTTCACTATCAAAACCACCATTTCGACCACCCATGTGCCAGTTTTCAGTGTTTGAGCGAGCGGTCAATGTTTTCAATAAGCGAGCTTCCGGTCGGACAAGACCGCGTGGTCGGAAATTAAGCGATAAGCGGTCGATGTAAAAGCGGAAGGTTGGGCGAAATGAGTACTGTATGACCATGTTTCTCCGACGAAGTCTCGACTGACAATAATGCTGACAATGGACGTTAGATAAACACGCATTGTTTGCAACTGGAAGCTTATCACCCGTTATATCAGAATCGTCAACAACAGAGTATACAGATAAGATTTTATCATTTAATTCCTTCCAAAGATAAACACTATGCAAATATCCACGAAACGGCAGTTGTAGTCTTTTCTGCTAGTGTTTTAAAACACTAATTTGAGCAACGTTATTTCGCAATTTCGATCTTTTGTAAACCTGGGGTGATGTATCAAGGTCTAAAGTAACCGTTTTATCAATTTTTGAAAAATCAAGAAAAAAGTGAAAATTTCCTTTCTCGCTACCTTAATGCATTTACATCTCTTAAAAGAGAAAAACAGGTGCGTGAACTTGACGTCAATGTTATGTAACATGGCAATGTCATGGAACACATATGCAATTAAAATGACAACAAATTTTCAGCCATATTTTTTAGGAGCACTTTTCATTGCATCAACTTCTGTGATGGCCGAGTGGTTAAGCCGTTGGACTTGAAATCCAATGTGGTCTCCCCGCGCAGGTTCGAACCCTGCTCGCAACGAAGGTTTTTGAGCACCTCGTTCAACCGCTTTATACATTGTTGGCCGTAGAACAACCGCAAGAACACATGCAAATTAAGAAAATTCGCATTGGCACCAAGTTTACATTATATATATATCACTTAATGCCATTTACATCTCGTAAAAGAGAAAAACAAGTGCGTGAACTTGACGTCAGTGTTATGTAACATGGCAATGTAATGTAGCAAATGCAAATACAATGACTATTTTCATCTCCTAAAAAAGAAAAACTGTTGCGTGAACTTGACGTCAATGTGATGTAACATGGCAAAGTCATGTCACGAACGCAAATAAAATCAC